GGATTGACTGAAGGACGTCAAGAAACATGTTTGGGTGTGTTCAGAAACTCATGAAAGGGAAATGTGACATGAAGGATGATGCTGATTTGAGTTACTGTTAATGCATATGTTACACAGAAGTCCACATCTCCCAGCTACCGTTTTCTCTTCCTTCATAGGGGCCTTTAGTGCTTGTATAAAGTCAACCACAACACAGATTGCCGTGTGAAAAAATATTTTTGAAATATTAATTTATTAAGTTAGTTTATACTTGCAACTTCTATTATACAGTACTTAATAATTTAAATAATGAAATATAATAAATCATTCATCAGGATATCAAATAGCTTACCAGCAATGCTAAAGACAGAATATAAATTTAACCCAATTATTGCATAAATAAAATTGAAACTCATTATCGACCTAACCTTGTTTATGGTTGTTCTTTCATTTTTCTAGGCTGGATGCAGGGAATGAAACGAAAACATACACCCTTCATTAGACAACCACTGCATTGTCATTGAAAATAATTCTTGCACAATACAATATATTATGATGGCACCTATGATGTGGAATATATATCCTTTTAAATAAATATATTTTATCTTTATAAAATATTTTTATTATAGATTAACAATAATATTGAATTTTGTCATGGAATATTGTTATAAAGCTTCATTCTTTCTTTAGCGTCTTTGATTTTGGGAATTATTTCCAATGGTCATCATGCTCTTGAAAAAAATCATACTTTGAAATAGTCTGAAGTGCCTTTGAAAAAGAAAGCCATAATTTAATTTTCTTAGCTAGTAAAGCCCACCTGTCTTGTTCACTGCATATACATGACTTAATAATTCCGTAAGCTCATTCAATTCCAGTACTGCAGTTTATTGCATTTTGTTGACGTCAGAAAAACTGAATCATGGGAACAAGCTGTCAATGCTAAGAATCTGGATTGCGTAGTTTATACATGCACGTAGCGTTCAACTATAGAATATTATTGCTGTTTTAATTATCAACATTGTTATGGAATGTGTTTGAGCAACCAAAAAAAAATAAAACTAGTCATGCAGTGATTTAAATAGCTGCTTTAACACAAATGAGCAGCTCATTGATCCTAACACAGAACAGACACAGCAGTATATCTCAAATTGAGGGAGCACCAGTTTTGCTGGAAACTTTTTGTATCAACCGTTCTTGGCTTGCTGTGCATACATGGCTGCCACCTCAGTGAACCAAGGGCTTAATGAGTTTCTCCTCTGGGCTTACTTGGAGGTACGCTTAGTACTGCGAAATTTGCATGTACTCTGTATCGGACACTTTTGATTTCTTACTTCTGACAAATTGCTCAACACAGGTTTTATAGATTTAAAAACCTAGTTCCAAGCATGATTCATAACTAGAGCATTTTTGAAACACAGAGAAATCTTTTACTAAAAGTACTTCAAGAACCCCTCTTTTTTTAATTAAAGCTGATAGTAATATCACACCCACTGCATAACCAAAACAATCAGCAAAGGTGGTAAAAGAGAAAATGTAATGAACATCATTTCCTGAGTGCATTGATAAGATAGAAACCATTCATTGTGTCCTGATCAAATTTTTGGGTAATGCACAATAGAGTTAATTGTACGATTCTGTACTTTCCACTGAAAATGTAGAACCTGGAGATTAGTCATCTTGTATTTCTTTACATGAACATATTTCTTGCACAATGACCAGCTCCAGAAGCTGATGTTACACATGTTACAGACGAATAACGTTTGCAATTGTTCAATAATTTTGTAGTGTATGTGTTGTGCAGTTTGGTGCAATTATGTGTGGTAAAAATTGGGTGGAAAGGCCACCTGTCACTCTCATGTCACTCTACCAGCTTTGTTGTGCAGGAATGACAAGAACATCATGTAGGTGTGTTTAGGGCAGAGGCATAGAAACTATGTTTAGCAGGTCATTAGGACTGAAAGCAGCATTCATTAAAACAAATTTTAAAACCATTTTTATTTGCAAGGGCTGTACTCTGGGTCAGTGTTTCCCCAACCTGGTCCTCTACATTTTTGCTCCCGATAGGAAGCTGGGGGGGGAGCAAAAATGTAGACTACCTGGAGGTCCCTGAGGACCAGGTTGGGAAAGACCGCTCTGGGGAACATTGCTGCCTCACTGCTGCCTCCCAATTGCAGGTTTGAGGGCTCCCACCATTGACTCTGTGTGCAGTTTGCATGCTCTCCCAGTGTTTCCCGGGCTGCCTCTCACAATCCGAAGCATGTATGTGAATTGGTGTCTTAAATTGCCAGCTAAATTGGCCTGTGGTTTGCTGGCTTCATAGGATAAGCTCACTGTTAGCCTGTGTGGTATAAATCATTATAGAAAATGATTTTTAAAAGATTAAGAATTTGGAATGAGTTTGAAAAACCTTCTACTTATTCATTGTATCTTTAAAAATGTAACAGATTTTGCTTATTTTTTTTGTAGTGTTTTTTGGCAACCATATGATAATGCTAAAGGGAATTATTATGATTAATCTCTTTGCTTATCATTCACAGTCTCAGTTAATGATACCTAAATGTTTTCATCTAATAAAAATGCCAATGAATTTTTTTTTTTACAAAAACACTAATACAATCCATTTGCATCTAACCAAGCATATCCAAACACAGTGCTTGGACTGCTATCAAGATGCAGTTGACATTAAGCTCCTATGTTGGTAGGGTACAATAACTTACGATTATAATATTCAGTAGAGATTACCCACCAGATATGGATTACATAAAAAACAATGTCCTGCTTATCATGATACATTCCTCCTGTGATGATCATCAAAATGACTTGCCATTTGTACCACAGTATCTCTCTTAGTGCTCCATACCAGTTGGAATAGCCCTCATCTGCATCCCACATCGATGAGTCCTGGTCACTCAATATCCCATTGAGATTCATGGTTGATCCTTCCTAAGACCGTACTCAGTAGGTACTCATCATAGCTGACCACCCCACAAACCTTGCCATTGCAGAGATGATCTGACCCAGTCAGTCCTATAATGATTTGGCCCTTGTCAAAGTCACTCAGATCTTTATCCCTGCCAGTTTCCTCAATTGTAGTAACACAAGCCTTGGTGTCAGTTCAGCAGCTGATGGATCCTATTTGCTTCAAGCTGGTAAGTGATGCATTAATGCCTGGTGTTCAGTGATGGGTTATCTCACAGCAGTATGAGAGTTTGTACATGTTTAGACATAGGATATTACTTCTAGATGCATGCATGTTGGCATAAATAAAACCTGTCTATTTAATTTCTAAAATTCTGGTCTAAGTGACTAACAGTAAGGGGCAGAATATATTGATATAATGTAACATATTTAACCTCAAGGCTTCTATATTGCTGTCATTATTATTCATGTTAAAAATTCTCATTATAAAAATACAGTGCTTACAAGGTTTTTCTAGATGAGTAGATGGGCAGATGATTTAGATGGACAGAGAACCAAACCAGCATCTTCAAATAATTAAGGAGTGTCCTTGCAACCAACACAGGCTACAATGCTTTATACTATCACCCTAAGACCTCACAGAGTTTCTTGATTTTGATCCAAAAAATCAAGTACAGATGTTGACAAATTAAGAACCTGGAGATGAGTTATTTTGTATTGCTTTACATAAACATACAATGACCAGCTCCAGAAGCCCAGGCTGAGCAGCAAATGTCATAAATACTGTGGAATACAAAACTGTAGAAATCTCCTGGCAGAATTTCTATTTATGTTTACTTGGGTAGAATTAACATAAATTATTTTGGAAAGTTCTCCTTCACATGCTATGTTTGCTCACTGTATTGTTTATGTCCTGTACCTACAGCAAAAAAGTAGATATTATTACCCCCCTTTATAACCCTATATGCCCCAAAGTCGTCAATTCTAAAAGTATTATAATGCAATTTAAATGTTAAAGAATTTATAGTATACCAGCGCATTTAATTGCATATGTTTTTCTACATTCTACAAAGGCACCACAGACAGCTTCCCATCCCACTGTATCACTGTTTCAATGGGAACTACAATGTCTTGGGCCAAAAGACCCTGCAGCAGTCAGTAGATTCAGCTGAAAAAATAGTTGGGGGCTCCCTGCCATCTATCTTCCTCAAACACTGAAAACACAAAATCTCCAGCATTATGAAGGACCCACTTCTACCCCCTTCCCATGTGGCAGAAGGTACCAGAGCATTCAAAGTCGATCCTGTAACAGCTCATATCCTGAACCTTTTAGGACCCTCAACACCTTGCCCAACGAACATAAAAGCCCCTATAGCCCTCATGCATAGTCTGTAGTCTTAAATTCAACCCCCTTGCTTGCATTGTCTTGTGATTTGCACCATGTGTAACCCATGTACATATATTTACTTTTTTGTCGGCATGTTGCAATGTGGATCTGAGGGAATTTTCTCTTGTGCTACTGTACACCTCTGTATGGGTGGTATGACAATAAAGACCCACTTGGTTTTCTTTAAGACAGTGTTGCAGTATAGTCAGGAACTTTCTCCAGAAACATCCCCCCCCCACCACCGACAAAACTTAAAAAAAATCCTGGTGTGCTGTCATGACTTCTGCCTCTCTATATGTTTCCTCTATTGTCAAAGGGACCATTGATCTTGCACACATCCTATCTGGGCAGAGGAAAGCAGTTTCCAGTGGGTGATTGCCCCACGCACTTGGCCTTTGCCTCACAATGGAGGGCACTATCAGGAGAATGTCCATTAGCCACTTGTTGAATGCTTTGCACAAGAGCACCTCTTATTCAGTGCCTTGAACTCGTTTCAACCCTGGCCCATGACTTCTTTTTTCTTCCATAACATCTGCATGGACGCAGGATTATAAGTGGGAAGACAACATTGTAGCATAAGCCTAGGGATTCCCATTTTGCTTTCCTGTTCAACAAAATGTGCATTCACTTTTAAGCTAAAAAACCTGTGAATGTTTGTTTACACTGCAAACAACAAAGAATAACAGTTTGTTGTATAACTGTAATACGCATTATCCTAGTGACAACAATGGAATCAGCTTTAATTTAAAAATAAATAATAAACCATATAAACTAATATATTTCAATAAACCATTTCAACAAGATGACAGTAAATAAATTCATCTTCAGACATTCAAGATGGCATTCAAGATGTTGAGATAAACACAATTTAAAATATACTCAACAATTTCACTTTTAAGTTGCAAGCACGAAGCTTATGAAATTATTTTGTCTAAACTCTCCCTGAAGGATAATCATATTCTATGATTCCGTTGAGGTACAGTCAACCTTTATGTTGATACATATGTAGTTAACTATCTAGGTTAGATATCAACACTTTATTTATACAACAGATCTAACCAAAGACAATTACGAATCCTTTTACAACAGCATGGAAAATAATTAAACACCAACATGGCTGCCACAAATTCTCCTAGACATTCAAATTCCCACTAAACCCATTTGAGCAAAGGCAAAACACTTTTTTTTTTAAATTGTTGTTAAATGATCACTAGGTCACATATAATCAATGACGCGCACACACAATGTTTAAAAAGGAAGTCTCTTTTGAATAATTTATTTGAAAAACTAACTAGCATTAGGAAACTTAAAAAATAATAACAAAATGCCAAAGGACACATTGGTCTAAACCGTGCAGAGCCGCTGCTCTGACCTTGGTCATCAAAAACATTCTGTGAGTGCACTTACACTATAAAGAACTATGATTTCATTTGTAAATTATGGTCTCACTAATGTCCAATGAATCTTGATGTTCTTCCTCCTGATTCAAAAGTACTATTACTGTCCAAACAAGATGCTAATAGCCATGATGACACAGCAGCATGCAACATAGGGGCTTTTCCGTTCACCTGCAAAGGAGAAGAAAGTGAGCACTTAATTATCTGCATTCATTCAAATTTAAAAAAATTGATTTCAGTGTAGTACAGTTGATATGGTGTGGCAGACATTTTGCGTTTTTTTTTCTGAGTGAAAAAAAAACTTGCAAAGGAAAAATTCTATCATGCTTTAATGAACATCAACTTCACATCATTAAAAATAACATGCTCCATCCCATATAATAAATGTTTTAGAGCAAAATATATTTTGAGTACAGTACGTTTCCTAAGACAAATCAACAACAAAAATGTAGGTTTTGTGACAGATTTTTTTTTCTCTCTCCTTATTTTTAGTATGGGGGAAAAAAAAGTTACCTATTCTTGCACACTTCCAGAATATGCCCAAAACCCTGAAAAAAGAGGGGGGGTTGGGGAATCAGCATAAATTAAAGAGAATGTTGCTTATGCAATGATGCTTAACTCTCACATTAGCATGCTTTTCAGTCACAAAGCAAACAGACAGCTCATCTTCTCAACAGGTTATATTCCATAGTATTCAGCAAAACACTGTGATAGGAATAAATCCTGATTTGCATGGAACAGCATCTACAGATAACATAACCAACATACAAAATATATCATTAAAAAGGCATATATATTCTCTGAGTCTTACAATAATATAATCTTGCGTTTGACTTATATAACACAAATTATCAAGGACTAATATGAATTCCAAGTAATCTATGACAATCTAAGAATTTCATGGGTTGTATTTCCAAATCATTTTACAGTGCAATCCAAAAATAAGGAGGACATGGCAGGAGACAGATGGAGTGCAGCTGCATGATAAAGTTCTTGAAGTAGACAGGAAAAACACTAAAAGGCCATGGGGGGCATGGAGTTAGTGTGGTGCTTGTGTTTGTGTCTGTGGTGGTAGATGCGGTAGTAATAGAAGCAACCTGGTCTAAACTATTTGTTGTTAGCAGAACAATCTTAGCAGATAGCACTGAAGGGCTTTGCCCTAAAAATATGTCAGTGATTAGCGACACTCAGTTTGCTTCATATGAGAGACACCAGATCTCTGTCCTCAGAACAAACAGATAATATTCTTCAGAGAAAATATGAGCCAGGGATGTCCACTTTTATTTTCTAAGGTTTTAACTTGTTTAAAACAACATACCCCATTAAAATGGTAAATGTAATTAGTCAGATATGGAATTTCTGTTATAAATATTTGCAGAACCACATATGAGCAAAAATCTACATTTATGCTATGAATATCAATTTGAATTGGAAACCAAATAGAGGGTCATATTAACAACCTCATGGCTGCCAATCTAACTGTGTTTTTACCATTTATCTACTACAGATCCAAGGTGAGCCTGGGGTATCCCAAGTATAAGATGTCCTTTCATAGTGCTATTTATTTTTTTTAAATGACTAGTTTCCTTTTAAAACAGCTATCCGTTTCTAGAGGTCAGTACCGAATTCAGCTGGTCATTACCTGGACTACTTATTTGTCATGCTGAATTTAATATAGTGAACGTTACGGTATGTTCATGTAATTACTCAGTGCACAGAGAAAAGAGGAGGAAAAAAAAACTCTAATGCAATTCTATCTACCTGTACCTACCCAGTCTTATTCTTATCAAGGAGGTTTGGAGCCAGGGCTCTAATGTAAGCACAGGTACAGATGAGCAGAAGAATAACCGTGAGGAGGCTCTGGAAATTGAAAATGGCAGACTGGGGGAAAAAGACAACATAAAAAAATGAGTGTCTTATTAGGGGACACAACTTAAACTGTAAAATTGGTCATGTACGTCTGTATTTAATTGTTTTTACCTATTTCTCTCGCAATATGCATAAATATAAAAACCCATTCATTAACCAAAGATATAAACACAAATTAATCTGGTAAACAGCAATATACACTCACCGACAACTTTATTAGAAACACCTATACAGTACACCTGCACTATCCTGCAAATATTTAATCAGCCACGAGCTTCGGCTAACGATGGCCAGATCAAACATCAGAACTGGGAAAAATTGTGATCTAAGTGATCCAGACTGAGGCATGGTTATTTATCCCTGAAGGCAAGGGCATAAATTATGGGGGGGTGGGGGGGTTGTAACCCACCCAATAATCAAAACCAGTCAGTACAACCCCCCAAACCCCTTTAAATGGGTGGAGACCTCAACCCCCCGATGCTCAACACAAAGTTATGCCCTTGCCAGAAGGGGTTGTTTGAGTATTTCAAAAACCGTTCATCTGCACAACAGTCTCTGAAGTTTAAACAGAATGGTGTAAAAAACAAAAAAACATCCAGTAAGCGGTAGTTCTGAGGATAGGAATGTCTGACGAAAGAGGTCGGAGGAGAATGGCCAGACTGTTTCTAGGTGAAAGGAAGGCTACAGCAACTAAAATAGGCAAGCATCTCTGAATGCAGCACAAGTCAAACCTTGCGGAGGGTGAGCTACACCAGCAGACAACCACACTAGCTTCCACTCAACTGGAAAATGAGTCTTCCTGAAATTAGACAGCTGAAGACTGGAAAAATGTCACCTGGTCCGATTAATATAAATTTCTGCTGCGACATACAGATGGTAGGATACAAATTGGGTCCAGAATCCATAGATCCAATCTGCCTTGTGCTAACAGTTCAGGCTGCTGGTGGTGTAATGATGTGGGAGATATTTTCTTGGTATTAGGGGGTCAGGTGTGAGCCAACTAATCATCGTTTAAATGCCACAGCCTATCAGAATATAGTTACTGGCCATATCCATCTGTTTATCTCCAAAATTTTCCCATTTTCTGATGGCTAAATCCAGAATAACAATGCACCATATCACAAAATACAAAAACGTTCTCTCAAACTGGTTTGATTAACACAACTATGAGTTCAAAGTACTTCAATGACCTCTGCAGTCACAAGATCTTGGTGAGCACTTCTGGAAAGTGCTGGAATGGAAGATTTGCGGCATAAACCTGCAACGACTGTGTTGCAACCATGCCACTACGAACCAGAATCTCTAAAGAATGATGGCACAAAAAAATTAAGGCTGTTCTGAAAGCAAGGGGGGGGCAGTCCATTATTAGAATGGCATTTCTAATAAAGTGCCAGTGAGTGGGTGTCTTATAATGAGGAAATCTAGAAAATATACAGAGAAAATACAAAATTCTTCAATACATATCTGGTATACTGAAAATATAGGTCGCAACCTTCTATGAATAAATTCATTAATTGAAATTCAATACACTATCTTCAGTGTTTAAGTATAGTTTTAAAGGTTAAATTATTAAATCACTCCTGTACTCATTATTCATTAATATGTCAAGGCTAAAACAAAGTGAATACAGGAGGAAATGTTTTTGTTGAATTTAATCTTAAAACTTATTTCCACAATTACATAAAGGAAAACCAACATGGGCAGAACATTAGGTAATATCAGTGTTATGGGTTACAACAACAGCTTAGGCATTGTTATACTGTAGGGTGTATATTGTTAAACTGGGACATTTCTTTTTTAAATTTACTTCCTCTCACTTTAAAAGTATTATCCTAATTATAAATATTAAAACGTAAAAGTATTATTGAAAGCTAATAGACACAGAGGCATAAAGATATTGTGCATCAGACATTCAAATGTTTCAGTTAAACCCTGTGACACTTAACCAATATTCACCCTGCCATGCTGCAACCACCACGTCTGGGGACAATTATCAAATAACTTAGATCCGGAGTCACGACTATTCTATTACTTAGGCTAACAGTCAGTAGAACTTATTTTCCCTGTCTACATGCTGTGACCACTGTCTATAACTGCAACACTACAAAGTTACCACGACCCAAGTACAGATGTAACTAATAACACTAGCCTGAACCAAACAGTCCTAATCAAAATCAAATCAGTTTCCGTTAAATCAGATTTCATTATAACAGGAAAGAAAAATGTAATTTTCATTTTTGTCTCTCTGCATAAAGCTAGTTTCATTAATACGCCGTACAGCAAATACATCTCACAAGAACTCACAATATGAGATTGTTTAGTTAATCATAAAAATGCTATCGTTTGTGGAAATATAACTTAATAACATGGAAAAATTGGTTTTATACGTTATAACTCAACCATTCCTCTTACCATTGCGCAACGACTCTTCTCACAGCCACATATAACATCCGGTAACCTTCCGGAAATGACGTTTAATCAAGGGCGTCCGCTACATCCAATTAAAACCCTTAATTATTAGTATAGGCGTGTCCGTTGCGTGGCGGGGCGGAACATAAATTCCGGAGTCGAGATTTTTGTTACGTAAGGTTTACTGTCAGACTTTCACCTGCGATGAAACGAAAGGGGGCCAGGTGCTGCTGGAAATGTGAATTGTTGCAAGGTTTTTTTGGGGGGATATTATTCATTTAAAATATTAACATAAAGATAAAAGAAGAAAAAAAGGATCAAATATCCATAGCACGCTTAAAGTATCGCTTGTCCCAGTAGTTCTGATGTTGCTTAAAAATGAATCTTCCCTTTGCAGATAAGCACAGTGTTAATTAGTTATATTTCTGATCTCATGTATTACTGTCTATAGTAAGTCGTTACGTTTACCTAAACAGAGACAAAATGCCTGGGGTTATAAGTTCTTTATTGTAGTATGTATGGTCTAGCATCATATATTAAATGTTAGTAAAAATATATTTAAAATATTGCCAGTTGGATTTTTATTGGATTATGTCTCTTGATACGAAATGCTTTAAAATGCATGCTAGTCAAGCCAGAAAATTAAAATAATGACACACAAACCATCCATTTTCCAACTGTTTATTTGAAAACATATTTGTCCTACTGCACTCTAAAAAACGCTGGGTTGTTTTTTCAACCCAAATGCTGGGTTGAGACTGCTGGGTAACAAAGTTGGGTTGATTTAACCCAATTTGGGTTGAAAATCGGTCTTGATCTATAACCCAGCAGTGCTGGGTTGGGAACGCGGACGTGAAAGAGAGCACGCACGTCACGTCAACATCCAGGGACATCAGCGAGAGTTGGCGGAGTTTTGCGCCGTCTTTAGAGGGAAGCCAGTGAAATTCTGTCTGAAACGTAAGTTATTCAGTGTGTATTTAACAATGTTCATAATAAATAAAACATTTGGTTTACTGTATAATATATATACACGCAAATTTTAGGCTTTCGGTCAGTTGAACTGAGATTACCTAACGACTAAGCGACGGCCGATCTCTTGCTCAGTGGACGGGAAAGCGCGCGTGACATCGTCATCGGAAGGAGCTTGGAAAGGATAACGTAAAATTTTTAAATATTACTTTTGTATATGTTAAATCTACTTTGTTTATTATTAAT